GCAAATGAAGCCCTAAAAATTCAGGATAATCGCTCAGGAAAGTCCGCTAACATAGCGTACAGTGAAATTAGCTTTACCTGTCGTACAGCGTCCGCCATCCTATGTACACTCAGCCCATTGTGAAACAGCACTACAATGTTCTGAAATGTCGAGCCCATAATCACCAGTGACTGATACATGTGATTCAGAATGGTGGTTGAGACGCGCAACTACACGCTGATACATAGTGAAATTTCAGTAATAAAAGAGATGAGAAACATCGTACATGACCAATGCGAAAATTATTTCATTTCACGTGTAACGCAAGCTGGCCCTGTTAAGCGTAAAAGAAGAAGTAGAAAGCACAATACAACAGCTACGAATGACAGCAGGTAGCTTCACGACTTATGTTCCAGTCTGAGACTGGGTAATGTGCTGTATTGCAATTCTGGATTTTCCTATTTGCTCTACTCTTGAGATGTGAAGTAAAGATGTCCCTAGTGTGAGTTCCAATTTATGTCAAAAAATAAACTGCTGCTTAAAAGGATGTTTTAGCCAGAACTACAAAACGCGTGGAAGCTAACGCAAAATAATTCCCTTTGATTTGTCACGAATATAATATATAGCAGCGGAGCAAAAAATATGGCAGAAATGAAACCGACACGGCCATATTGCGGTATCATAAGTGGTAGATACACCCAACAGACATCTACAAACTATGTAATGCTTTATTTGTGCTATTATTGAACAGTGACTATAATCAATTATACAACAAGATACAGCAATCTTCTCGGAAGGTAAATGCCTGCTGCAGAAAACACATTACAAGTGCGTCCCGATCAAACGATCAACGCTACAAAAATAGGCACACCGGAAACACAAGAAATACACAAGCTTAGCAATTTGCAGTGAACTGGTTGTATCTGGAAGTATCATAATTTTAGATGTACACCCAGAGCGTGGTCCAAAGGTGCAATGACGAACATGTGATCCATCGCATTTCAGAGATAGCGGCCAGGGCCTTACGGCGTATCGCTTGATGACGCAAATAAGAAGTCTGTAGTACGGGAAACAAGCAATACGGCAACATCCAGGCCAATCAAGAACTGAATCATTTGGAAACCTTTACAAGCAAGCATGTGCTTATCTTGAAAAATCTCAACACAGAAGTATACGAGGCAGTTACATCAAGAAACCAAGTGCATGAGTTCATCTATGATCTTGTCGTAGTGGAAGAGATCGAAGACTTGTATGAGCCGGAAGTTCTCCTGGGTAGTTTGAACAATCATCTGAGGAAAATTTATGGAATGTTGCGACGACATAAAAGTAATGGTAACAAACCTTCAGAGCTGGAATAAGCAGCATGGTGTTACCTACTCGTTCACCAATATCCTGAACTCCCAAAACATTGTAGAAACTGAACCAGTGATCGTAGGTGCGTTTGCGCGCTTCAGCCACTACTTGAATCCCATGTTCACTCAAGCCATCTGCCCCTACAAATATCTAGTCAAGGATAAAAAGCGGCCAATGTGCATCCTTGTATTGCTTACTAGGATCAAACAGCAAGATAGCGTTCAAAGCACAGAATTCTGCGTCAGACATATTGTTGTGGTACATGGGGCCTGATAACTCTGACATGAAATCTTTCAAGGGTTGTATGAACAACCTAAAACAAAATGGAAAAATAATCAATGGGGAAATTCCATAAAAAA